TGTGCATGTTGGTTCTATCACTAGGCCTTTTATACCAGGCCTCATGTTTCTGGCTCACTCCCTCTCTACTACAATGAGCACTAAGTTTGTGTTCTTCGTTTTCTGGTTGCCTAGGTTGACACACCTGGGGACTGAATGTAGAAGTACTGAGCTCTCACAACTGCAACTGAAGTCAATGGAAGCTGTGAGTGCTCAGCACCTCCAGCAGTAAGACAGTGTTCTGGAGGAATGAGAACAGAGGGACAGAGTTCTAGACCTGACTCTGCCAGTTATTCACTATGTGGTCTCATGTCAAGTCTTTGACTGAGTTTCTCCATGTGTAAAATGGGGATAATACTGTTCTTCTATCTCAACATTTATTGTGAAGATATATTAATGAATATTTGTGAGGCACTCAAGTACTATGGGGTCTAGTGTCCTGGAAAAGAGCATGGTGAAATAAATCTGTATTAATTGAGACATTGGATAACATGCAGTAAATAACGCAATGGACATTAATTGAATAATGGGAATAAAAATACTGCTGCCTCATTCCTTGAGCACTGGCCATCCTCTGTTCTGAATAAGACAAATGCTGTGGAAAAAATAGTAGGTGGTCATTTAATTAAAGACTGTGTCAAAATACACATGTCCTATGGGGCAGAATTAAGATTGCATGGACAATCTAAATTTTTCCATTTCCTAACTTTCAAGTGTTTGACTTTGTACCTTAAATAATGTTCTTTTAACATAGATTTTTAGTATGTAAATATAGGCAGTGGTGGTAGTTAAGGTTGCCTAATACTTTCCATTATAAGAACCTGTGTTCAGTTTGTTATAACTGCCTAGCTTTAGCCATTTGGACTGAATTTTTCCTTGTCAGGTGTCTCGGAAAGTTTCAGCAAAAACTGTTGAGGCATTTCCATGTATGAGTTGTCAAGGAGTCCAACTCCTGAGCAAGCCCCACATGCCCAGAAGCAACTCGCCAACTGGTATCCTCTTGTGGCTGGGTGTGGTGGTTGTTTCGGAGAATAACAGCGTTCTCACTCTTTGTTTGGGTACAGCAAAGTCAGATACTTTATTCTCTTTAACAGCTGTGTAAAGGAAGAGAGTGCACTAGGACACAGGGTCTCCCCCTCCTAGGCAGGTCTCTTCACAGGTAAACAATTACAGCAAGCATTTATACCTTTGTTACAGACAATAATAAGCAACAGCTGCATTTTGTTTATACATTGGTCATTCTGATATCTTGTTTTTCTCACTTATGTAGACTCTTAGTCTACATTCCATATTGTCTGCACATTATCTAACATTATCTACACAAAAAAGCAACAGAGGGCACCTTTAAGACTAACAGAAGTATTGGGAGCATAAGCTTTCGTGGGTAAGAACCTCACTTCTTCAGATGCAAGTAATGGAAATCTCCAGAGGCAGGTATAAATCAGTCTGGAGATAACGAGGTTAGTTCAATCAGGGAGGGTGAGGTGCTCTGCTAGCAGTTGAGGTGTGAACACCAAGGGAGGAGAAACTGCTTCTGTAGTTGGATAGCCATTCACAGTCTTTGTTTAATCCTGATCTGATGGTGTCAAATTTGCAAATGAACTGGAGCTCAACAGTTTCTCTTTGGAGTCTGGTCCTGAAGTTTTTTTGCTGTAAGATGGCTACCTTAACATCTGCTATTGTGTGGCCAGGGAGGTTGAAGTGTTCTCCTACAGGTTTTTGTATATTGCCATTCCTGATATCTGACTTGTGTCCATTTATCCTCTTGCGTAGTGACAGTCCAGTTTGGCCAATGTACATCCCGCAAGGATTCGTTCTTGGCCCTGCGCTATTTCACATTCTTATCAATGACCTGAGCCAGCTCCACTACAGCTATTTCCTTCCCCCTGGGAGGATGAGATGATCTGGAGCGAAACGTGGACGTTATTCTGTAGCCTGGAGGCTGCAGCTCCGCAGCGGGGCGGGCAGAGCCCGGGGCGGCTCCAGCTGGCCCCACTCAGAAGGTTTGGCAGACTTCAGGATAGGCGAGGCTGAGCAGGATATTTCCTACAGTTACTCCTCCAAGCAGTTAAGAACTGCTGTGGCACCCAGCACCATAACTGAGAATAGAGAGACTCTCTCTCCTGTGCTCTCAATGCTTTTCGTGCTGGTGCCTGGGCAGCATGAGGAGAAGGAAGCAGCCTGACTTATTCAAATACAGTGGTATGGAGAAGAGGACTGGAAGGATGTGGAGAGTACAGGCTGAAGGGACAGCGGTAGCGGAGTAGGATAGGGACAGTTTATGCAGGGATAGGACCAAAAGGGAAAGTGGACAGAATGCAACATGGCAGATTGGAACTGAGTAGAGGCAAAAGGGTCTGTACCTTCCACTGTACCTTGCAGTTACTATATCTGGCAAATTGTGTATCTCCTCCCCTGCTAATGGCTGGTCCACACACAGAATAATTGTTTATTATAGCTGTAAATTACTGTGTTAACTCCAGTCCTACTGATGTCCCATGTAGAGCTCAGTATGCTTCCATATGAATACATTTCTATTTATTTTGTCAGTTTTGTTTTTTTAAAAACTGAGCAAATTACAAACAACCTTAATTTGCCTCCCTTGTGTATATGTATTATGAAGCAGTCTTTAGTTATATGATCACATACTATTTTTCCTCATGACCCCTGTCTTCTCCAGTGCACAGGATCAAATGTAGTCAGAGAATCAATCAGATGTGGCAAAAGTACACTTTGAATGGCAGGGCAGAGAGATGGAAGTGGGAACAGAGTGGGTGCTCTGCATGGGGAATGAGGGGAGTGACTGACACTCAGAGGAACTGGTTCCAGGTTGGGAAGGGGGATCCTTGCAGTTCATGTTTCTCTCATTAGCGACAGAATGTAGCTGCTCCCAGCCCCAGCCTACCACCCCAGTTCCTATCTGCTCCCTTGGCCTGATCATGGGCACCATGGTGCCCCTCTGGGTCCTACTCTTGTCTTCATCTCCCCATGCATGCATACAGTTTACAGAGCAAATCACATAAGCCAAACTTTTCACAGGTGGCAGCTGTTTATTCCTTATTTGCTGAGTGCATATCTTGAGACACCTGGGTCCTGATTTGCAGAAATGCTGCATATTCACATCAGTAAATTAAGTAAATGGGAGCTGTGCTTTAAACATATAAAGCATTATTAAAAGGCTAAGTACTCTGAATAATCTGGTTCTAGGCGCATCAACTTTGGCACTCAACATTAGTGGACATTTGACAATTTTAGTTTTAATCTCTCTGTGACTTAACTCTCCATCTGTAAAAACGGGGCTAATAGTACCACCTTACCAAATAGGGGTGTTGTAAAAATTAATGTTTGTGAAGAATTTAAGTACTCCAGGGATGAGTGTCATTAAAAAGTCTATGATGAAATTAATAATTCTGTATTCAGTGCAGGTTTCAAATGATGTGCAGTATATAAAGCTTGAGGCCTCACATTGAATGGTGAGGATAAAAGAAATAGTGAATAGCTACCCATTTAGTTAGCCTGATCTATCCAGCCCACTGAATGAGACAGATCCAGTTTTGTAAAAGATTCCAAGGCCTGAAGGAACCATTCTGATCATCTAATCTGGCCTCCGTCATAATGCAACCCATAGAACTTCAACAAAATAATGCCTTTTCAATTGCATAGCTTTAAAAAAATTCAATCTTGATTTAAAAATTCCCACTGATGGAGAAGCCACCACAACTCTTGGTGAATTGTTCCAGTGGTTAATTACTCTGTTAAAATGTATGCATTATGTCCAGTCTGAACAGGTCTAGCTTCAACTTCCAGCTACTGGATTTTGTTACATCTTTGTCTGCTCATTATCAAATATTTAGTCCTCATGTGCAGATACTTTATAGACTGATTAAATCACCCCTTAACCTTCTCTTTGATAAGCTATAATAGTTTGATCTCCTTGAGTCTATTGTTATAAGGCATGTTTTCTAATCTTTTAATCATTCTCATGGCTCTTCTCTGAGCCCTCCAATTTATCAACGTTCTTCTTGAATTGTGGATATCAGAACCGGACACAGTACTGTAACAGCAATCGCACCAGTGCCAAATACAGAGGTAAAACAACCTCTATACTCCTACTCGAGATTCTCCTGTTTATGCATCCAACGATCACATTAGTCCTTTTGGCCACAGTGTTCCATTGGGAGTTCATGTTCAGCTGGTTCTCCACCACAACTCCCAAATCTTTTTCGGAGCCACTGCTTCCCAGGATAGAGTCACCCATTTTGTAAGTATGACCCACATTCTTTGTTCCTTTGCTTGTGCCCAGATTGCCAACTGATCTAGGTCTGTATCAGTGGCCTGTCTTCTTCATTATTTATCACTACCGCAATTTTTTTGTCATCTTCAGGGGGAAAAAAATAAAGTGAACTTGTAATTAAAGATTCTCATAATGCATATGCACAGGTGAGCCAAATTAAGGTTGCACAGGTCAACTTAATTCTGGAATTTTCTAACTTTTGAGTGCTTGACTTTGCAACATTAATTTTTAACAGCATTTTTTGGTATGTGATATATTACATCCAAGAATATGACTTTTTTTGTACTGGGGTGTTGCACAAAGAGCTTGCATTTAATTTACTGCCTACTGTGAATTCTCATTCTCAAGATCTTTCTCAGGCTTACTGCTCTCCATTTTATAATTGTGCTTTTTCTTTCCTCCTCCTAGATGTCTGGTATTACATTTACTAGTAATGAATTCCATGTTAGTGTATGAAGACCACTGTTCTAATCTTTTCAGATGGTGATTTAGGCCCTGGCTGAATTTATACCGTAGACTACATTGCTAATGGAAATACTAAAAATGGGCTCCAGTATCGGCTCCAGTTGAAAGTGTTACCATTCAACTATTTTGTTTTGTTGTTGTTGTTTTTGGCTTTTTTGGGGGGGGGGGGGGAGGGGAACAACCAACTTCTAAGTAAAATAGTTTGTATCCTACTCTTATCCTTAAATTAAAGGAACTTTTATGCTGTCTCTTTCCCATTCAGGGTTCAGTGATTAAAGGGCTTCAAGACGAGATTGTAGATCTCAGACAACATTTATCAGGGGTGGAGTCAGGCGATGGCCCCCACCATTGTATAAATTGCTCTGCACAGCAGATGCAGAGTAAACTGAAGGAAGCAGTGAGAAAGATCTCTATTCTGAGCCAAGAAAAGCAACAACTAATTGAAATGGGAAACAGACTTCGAGCAGAACTTGGTGTAGTATCAAAGGAAGGTAAATTCATTCTATATAAGGCTTTTGTTCCTGATGGGAGAGTAAATCACACTGATTTGACATGTAGAGAGCTAGATGGGCTTGTCTACACTTACCAGGGGATCAATGAGTGGCAATTGATGCATCGCTGGTCAATTTAGCGGGTCTAGTGAAGACCCACTAAATCGACGCAGATCGCTCTCCCATTGACTCCGCTGGATCGAGAAGAGTAGGAGGAGTCAATAGGAGAGTGTCTCCCGTCGACATTGCGTGGTGTGGATCCCATGGTAAGTAGATCTAAACTATGTCGATTTGAGTTACGCTATTCATGTAGCCCAAATTGCATAGCTTAGATCGAATTTCTCCTGTAGTGTAGACAAGGCTTAATGTGAAAGTAAAGTGCGGGGAGCAGGCTGATCTCTGAGACAGTGCATTTCTGTTCCTAATGTGAGAATTAGGTGCCAGTGCAGGGGTGGGCAAACTTTTTGGCCCAAGGGCCACATCTGGGAATAGAAATTGTATGGCGGGCCATGAATGCTCAGAAAATTGGGGTTGGGGTGAGGGGCTCTAGTTGGGGGTGCAGGCTCCAGGGTGGGGCCAGAAATTAGGAGTTCAGGGTGAGGGAGGGGGCTCTGGGCTGGGTTGGGGGAGTGGGGTGCAGTGGGGGAAGTGAGGACTCTGGCTGGGGGGATGCAGGCTCTGGGGTGGGGCTGGGGTTGAGGAATTTGGGGTACAGGAGGGTGCTCCAGGCTGGGATCGAGGGGTTTGGAGTGTGGGAGGGGGATCAGAGCTGGGGCAGGGGGTTGGGGCATGGGGGGAGGCTCAAGGGTGCAGGCTCCGAGCAGCGCTTACCTCAAGCAGCTCCCGGAAGCACTGTCATGTCCCTTCTCCGGCTCCTATGTGGAGGCACAGCCAGGCAGCTCTGCACGCTGCCCTGTCTGCAGGCACCGTTCCTGCAGCTCCCATTGGAGCACTGGAGGGGACCATTAGAGCGCATGGAGCCAGAGGGGGGCCATGCTGTGGCTTCCGGGAGCTGCGTGGAGCAGCCCCCGACCCTACTCCCTGTCTGGAGTGCCAGAGCGGGGCGATGCCGCGGCTTCCAGGAGCCGTGTGGTGTGGCCCTTGACCCTGCTGGGCAAGCCCCAGACCCCACTCCCCAGCGGGAGCTCGCAGGCTGGCTTAAAACGGCTTACAGCAGATCTGGCCCACAGGCCATAGTTTGCCCACTCCTGTGCTAGTGGTTGAGAGCAAGTTTGTCCCTAATGCAGAAGATGCTGGGCTAAAACATGACACAGAGTTTGCCAGTCAGTAACTCTTGGATATGAAGATATTCAGTAAAGAACAACCTAGTGCTAAAGTGTCAGTGTGGACTTTGCATAAGAGTGAAAATTTGGTTCTGTATTTATAAAGAGGTTATTCGTCTCATGGAATCATTGTTTGATCCTCATGGAAGAGGAGAAGAAAGCAGAATAACCTTATCGAATAAACTTAAGATGAATTTTGAGGTCATGTGAGAAAATTTCATTGTAGAATTAAAATCTCTACAATGAAAATCTCTCACTAGTAAAAGGGTTGAAAAAAATCACTAGTAGGAAAAGACATTTCTAGGCCAATTCTGACACAGCTTTGTATCCCTATGCAATGAGAGGCTGCCATGTTCTGTAACTCATTTATGACTACTGTAAGCACCTAAATGAAGAGGAAATATTTTTTTTAGTTAAGAGTGACAATATAGAAAATTCCCTCTTCATAATTTATTTTCTCTCCTTTTTAGGACTTCAGCATTACATTAGCTCTAAACAGTGCCCTGTTCATACTGTTTATGGTGCTCTGTATCCTAAAGAGCTTGCCAATGAAGCACAACATCGATTCTCAGCTTTAGAGCATCTACAGTACCAGCTTACAACACAGGTAATGATATATCCTCCATAAAACTAGGCTTTTGATCAGATTATTGAGACATTGTGCTAAACCCGTATTTTCAGTTGCTTATAACTGTCCCCAGAATCTTCTTGGATTGAAATATCTCATGCTAGATCTCAGCCCAGAAGCCTTTTTGGACCATTTGTGATAACTCCATTTGGCTGACTTTGAGTTAACTAAACCTAGAGTGGAGGGGAAATGTTTTTCACCTAAGAAACTTTTCAGATTCATTTCTATGTTACTATATTAAAATTTCAGTCCTAAATGAGGAGTATGTCTGTCTTGAAGAAATTTAGATTTAAAATGATAGTTGTGGTCCATTTGAAAACATGTGACATATGTTTAAATTTACTTGGAATTCACAGATTTTTTAAAATGCACTCATCCAAATAATTATAATAGCATGTACATTCAAACATGCAAACTGGGAGCATGAGGGGAGGAAGTTGGAGAAGGGAGCGCTAAAGTCAGATTTTATTCGTTTAAAATGAAGTTATGGTCAGAAAAACTAGGGTTACCATCCGTCCAGGTTTCCCCGGACATGTCCGGCTTTTTCAGCCTTAAATGGCCGTCCGGGGGGGATTTCTAATGAAGTAGAAATATCCGGGATTTCCCCCTTCCCCTCCTGCGCAGTGCGGCGCAGCTGATTGGACGCCTGGCCTGATTGAAAGCCGCTCGCAGCCACTAGGGCCTCTAGCAGCCAGAGTCCCTCCCCTTCCCCCCGCTCCCTCCTCCCCCACAGAGCAGCGTGGAAGTGTTTGAGTCCACGTGGAGCCTGCATTTCTCCCTCTGCCGGGTGAGTGGGGGGAGCAGGGCAGGCGGCGGCGGGGGTGTGTGTAGAGGCTGCAGGGCGAGTGGGGAGCAGGGGGCACAGAGGCTGCAGGGGCGGGGGGGTGGAGAG